GATATGAATTTTTTTTTTTTTTGCTGAGGAAAACATGATGATTCCAAGTGCTTGGGCAAAAATCTGAAGAAATAATTTTGCTGGGCAATGTATATTTGTTTGATCTGGATTCAATATTGAAAAAAGTTTGAGAGTTTAATATTGCGTTAAGTATACAGCTCCAGTCAGTCATCCTGATTTTGATAAACACATCAATTTAGATTTTTGTCCCATAATTGTTGGAAAATATGTGTTTAGTTGTTGGCTTTTTTTTTTTTTACTGAAGTGTGAATTATAAGTCGTCTCTGTTTTGTGTTTAGGTGGAAATCTCTTGTGCTGTGAGTCCTGTCCCTCCGCTTTCCATCCAGAGTGCTTGAATATTGAGATGCCAGAGGGAACCTGGTTTTGCAATGACTGCAGAGGAGGGAAGAAACCACGATACCAGGATATCATTTGGGTCAAACTGGGCAACTACAGGTATGCATTCCCATCACAATTTAATTTACTCTGACCTTTCAACATGTTATTAAAAGGTAACTTGTGACAATGAAACTGTCACACGTCGGCTCAATAGATCGGGAAGTGAGCGAACACATACCATTGCTCGCTCACTTCTTGATGCAGAGAGCTGTGACTGTTGGTGACCGCTCCCCTCTCCGATCCTCCAGTGCAGTGCTGAACGGTGGGGGGGTTTGGGGGTACAGCTGGCTCTACCTCTAGGTAGGCAGAGCCAGCTGTCGGTCACGCAGCAGGGTGGATCTCGACAGTATTGTCGGGATCCGTCCTGGCTGCGGCGGTCTCAGTATACCGCAAGCTCTAATTTAAAAATAGTCCCATTGTAGTAAAGACAACTACTTTTTTATTACATAAGTGCAGATAATTAAACAGGTAATTGTGCTTAGCTCTCAGAGTACGTAATCGATATCGCGATAAAATGAGCTTTGGGTCATGGGAGGACGCTAGTATATGTCCTCCAGTGACCCTAAAGAGAACCATGGGGGAAAACACTTACCTCATAGTTCTCTTTTAAGGACTTCCTGTGTCCCTTGTTGGACTTCAAGAGAAATTTTTTGTGATAGGTACAAAATGTATTTTTTTTTTTGTAGGTAAATATCTCTGACATGGTAATTTTAATAGTCATGATTGTTCTAAACTCTTCTTGATCTAAAGATCTTTTAGACATAGACATGTGTTGGGTGGTGCCCTCCTCCTTTTCAGTAGTGCTCATGTCATTAGGGCCTTTTACTGCTCAATACACGTTTACCATATGTATTTTATTGCTTTTATGTTTAAAAACCAGATGGTGGCCAGCAGAAGTGTGTCAACCCAAAAACATTCCTACGAACATTCAGAAGATGAAACATGAGATTGGAGAGTTCCCAGTTTTCTTTTTTGGTTCTAAAGATTATTACTGGACCCACCACGCGCGAGTTTTCCCGTATATGGAGGGCGATCGAGGGAGCAAACATCATGGAGTAAAAAGCATCGGCAAAGTCTTTAAAAATGGTACGTTGTTGACATTTAAGTATTGGGGCAGAATTGCTCAACCTGTTGGGCTGCTGAGTACTGTTATTGGGACCCCAAATGACTGTTAGTCATTGCTTTGAGATCCCAAATTTTTTTTCTAAATGGGACCATGTTACATGGCAGTAAATTGTGATATATAGAAGTATAGCTTAAGGCAAACCTTTCATTTTGGATAGACTAGGGGTGTTTAAAACTCCTGTCAGTTTTGTTTTTGAGGTCTGTCTCTTAGGGAGACTTTCTGTTGAGAACAAGTGTTCCCATGGGAAGATTTCCCCTCCTAGTAATATTCAGATGGTAACTTAAGATTTTGGGTTTACCCTGACTTTTTAAAATTCGATTCAGAGTCCCCGTAATGGGTACACGGACAGCAATAAAATCATGGCAGTGGTTCTAAACTCTCACCACTCCCTATTCCCGAAAAAATAGTTTGGCTTGTAGCCATACTGTAAAGTTTTATGGAATCCAGATTTGGGTCCAAATCGATCAGACTATTGCAATTTGTTTTACTGTTTTTTTGTTAACAGCCTTGCAAGAAGCTGAAGAGCGTTTCTGTGAGATAAAGTCACAGCGGAAAGAAAAAGAAACTCAGGAAAACGAAAAAAAGCCACCACCATATAAGCACATAAAGGTACAAGAATTTGACAAAACGGATGGAGTGTTATACATTTCTTGACATTTAGGGGGCTATTCACAAAAGGATGAAGAGTTTGGAGAAGGCAAAAGTGACCAATCTAGGCCAAAATAGCTGATTTGTAAAAAAAAGTTTGGTTTAGCTATGTTGTCTAGATTGTTCTCGTCTCTTCCTCCTTCAAACTCTTCACCCTTCTGTGAATAGCCGTGTTAGTGGTTTTGTTCTGCCCTTAAACACTACGCAGATCAAATTAAATGATATTGGCCCCTCCATTACTGTTCCATTCATTCGTACACCAACTGTTTTTCCAGGTGAATAAGCCGTATGGCAAAGTTCAAGTTTACACTGCTGATATTTCCGAAATTCCTAAGTGCAATTGTAAGACGTCGAGTGATAAACCCTGTGGATTTGACTCCGAATGTCTAAACCGTATGCTGATGTACGAGTGTCATCCTCAAGTGTGTCCTGCCGGGGTGAGGTGTCAGAATCAGTGCTTTACAAAGCGCCAATATCCCGAGACCAAGATCATCAAGACTGAGGGAAAAGGATGGGGACTGATAGCCACACGAGATATTAAGAAGGTGAGCAACAAATGGAATATATATAGAAGTAAAAACAATTGTAATAATAGAAAGACCGAAGATGCGAGTAAATCCAAGCTGGCAGAGGAATGTGTAGAGGTTTTATTTTTCTTAAGTTAGCCAGTACGACATGTTATTTTACCTGCCCCATAGCGAACAACACAGTGAACATAGCATCAGATCTTTTGTTAGAGGACCTGAATTGTGGAAGCTGTGCAAAAAACAAACAAACATGGGACTAGGTGCCAGTTTTGCCTATAGGCTCCTGCAGATATTTTCCTATTACTGCCTTACCCTGCTTTGTTCCACAGTGTGAGGCGGTCATTATAGTAGCGAAGCAGTGCTTTGCTTAATCATATCCGAGCTCCTACCCTGATGACAAGTGATCTGATGACGGATGGAGGAATAATCGAGCAGGATTTGTGCAAAAAGCTGAGGCTCTGGTTTAGGTTCACACCGTCCAGGATCAGCACCTACTTCCAGGACTAGGATGTTGAAACAGATCAGCCTCCTACCGTGTTTCCCCGAAAGTAAGACCTACCCCGAAAGTAAGACCTAGCACTATATTCAAGGATTTCTGTAATATAAGACCTACCCTGAAAATAAGACCTAGTTCTGGGTAGGTCTTATATTACAGAAATCCCTGAAGATAGCGCTAGATCTTCCGGGGTAGCTGCACATGTAATTTGATTTTTACATGTTAAGAGCGGCCGCAGTGTCTTATTTTCGGGGGAAACACGGTACTAGGCCCCGTTCACACCAAGGCAGCATCGTTTTTGAAGGTTCAGCGTGCTTTTTTTTTGCAAGCACATGAAGATGCACATTTTGACTGTCCGTTTAAGAAACACTGTGGTCAATGGACAAACCCGTATGAAAATGTGCAGCATGCTTCTGCCACACGTTTATATTGATGGCATTTTGCTGCTCGGGTGTGAACAGGGGCTATTGAAGATCATGGAATTTCTTGTGTTGGGCATTCTTAAAGCGCCTTTTCTACTGCTCAAAAACGCATAGGTGTGAAGCAGGCCTTAGGGTGTGACTTGCTACAAAGTTAGTGCGGCGGTCTGATCCCTTATTATTGTCCCCTGCCTGCATAATTGTGCACCCTTAGTAGCCAGTCATTCCAGTACTCCTTTGTTTAAAGGGTCCATTGTTCTATACGTTATAACATTTAACTTCATTTGTAAATAAAGGCTGCTGTAAGCCCCTTAACATATATTCGTGAACACACAGCTATAAAAAGGAAATAAAATCTGCTGTTTTAGAATGCCATAACTATTAGCACATTACATAAAAAAAACATTTCCAAATGCTATATTCCATGGTTACGTCATGGTCACAGCCTTCACTTCACTGTTCCCAGAAGTAGGGGACATGTTTTCATAGTAGGCGGCCAGGCAGTGTATGACATCACACAGTTGGCGAAGTATGTTTCCTGTCTGTGTGCTCTGCATTTTTGACAGTGAGGCTTCTGTAGGGAGCAGCTGATGGCATCCTGCTTCTCCCAGCATCAGTTCAAAGGACATCAATACAGCTGGGCTGACTAGAGGAGATACAGGCACGCCGTCCTGGTACTCCCAGCAGCAATCCCAGGAACACAAACTGACCACGCCAACAGGGATCTTCTTCCATGCTTTGCATGGTCAGTTTGCTAGAGAAAACAAGTGGAACTGGCAGGATCACCAGGTATTTATCAGCACCAAATAAAATGAAAACAAATTACAGGCTTCACTTACCAAGCAAGACCTGTGTAAATAACCGAACACTTTAATGTTACCTTTTCTTTACTTTCATTCACTTTTACTTTTTTCATCCCCTGTGGCTAGGATTAGGATTGAAAGATTCAAAAGCCATATGGAGCACTTAAAAGTACAGTGTACATATAGCAGTGATATAGCAATCCTATATCACTTCCTAAAACAAATTTAGATTTCTATCTAAATTTAGGGTGGAGCCATCAAGATAATTTCTTTATGCCCTTGTGGCCAACTTTGCATTTAACTGGCTGTAATCTGGCAGGCTAGTAAACTGGGTGGTGTGTGTGTGTGTGCGTGCGTGCGCGTGTGTACATTTTCCCTAGCAGTTTTTATTCTTTAGTATATAACCGTTTCCTTTACTGTATGGAGTGGACATTTTATTTGGATTGTTTTCTCTTTCAGGGAGAGTTTGTTAATGAGTATGTTGGAGAACTTATAGATGAAGAGGAATGCATGGCAAGGATTCGCCATGCACAGGAGAATGACCTCATGCACTTTTATATGCTGACCATTGATAAGGTATTGGGAAGCCTAATACAATATTACTTTGACTTGTGCTTGGTTCTCTCAGCCCTGCCTTCTGGGAGTGTTGTAAACAGAGCTATGACACTACATTTAACAGTACAGCAAGAGTTTTAACTGATGAAAGGGGATCCTGTGTGACCCTGAAACGTTGCACTAAGTGTGCTATGCTACCTTTTTGCATGTATGTCAATAAATTGACATATTATATCTGCTATTGGAGTGGCAATGTCCATATTCTTTTGCAGAAATAGGAAGGTACGCGGCAAAAGACTTGTCACCATTATTGCCTTTGGTCTCTCTAAAAAGCTTTTCCCATTTGTCTTACCATGCCTTGCGCTGTGGAGGTAGCCTTCTTGGTAGAAGCAGGGCTTTGTTTCCTCATGTCAGAGCCTCCAGCAAGGAGAACGCTGAACAGCACAGTAGTGACATCAAATCTATTGAGATTAGCGCTCTGAGGCAGCAGTGCCTTAGATTCACACTGCAGATATATATCCATGATTCTGTAGGCATTGGAGTGCCAAGGCATCCTTCTATACTAGGAAGTGCACTGCTATTATTTTTTTTAGAAAGAACTTCAGACAAACAGGTAGAATTAAAGGTACTGCTTAGGCACAATTACCATTTCTAGATGTTCCTTTAAAAGCAAATCTTCACATTTTCAATTTAAGTCCAGTTTAATCCTTCTGATATATGCAGACAACCTCTTTGCTCCCGATTTGCTATCCTAAAAATGCCCATGAACTCTCTCCACTGCACCTTCAGGCCCCTTTGTATACTTCTGATCAGATATCAAAGCTGTGATTATGGGAATTACAGTGTGGTCTGACTGCATTACGGTGGCATAAAAAAATATAACACAGACATTAAAACCACCACATAGTAAGGCAAGAGAATTGGGGATCCCTAGTTGGCTTTTTGGGTTGCCTATAGTAAGGCCTTGGGCAATTGGCTGTGTGAACTCTTCTTTAATAAGCATATCAGCCAACCATGGTATTGTTGTAAACACAGCATAAAAAAAGCAGGAAGGGCATAATAGCATTGATCTTAAACATTACCGTTCCTTCTATTATACCATTGTAAGCGGACACCACATATTCTTTTCTGTAGTATTATGCAACTACTGTTTGGTTCTCAAAAAACTGTGTCTTGAGGTAAACAAATGCAGTGCTGACAACCTATGTTGATTTACAGGACAGAATAATTGATGCTGGACCTAAAGGGAACTATTCTCGGTTTATGAATCACAGCTGTCAGCCAAACTGTGATACCCAAAAATGGACAGTAAATGGAGACACTCGTGTGGGCTTGTTTGCAGTGCGGGACATACCTGCAGGTAATAATCACAGCCATTTTTTATACCGAGCCATATTGCTGCTTTAAAGGCCAAGTTTACCTTTTTTGTAGGCAAGTTTTACTTTTCCATAATGTAATGAAAGTCGCCTACTCCCTCTTTGAATCTGCATCCTCTCTTTTTCATTTCAAATTATGTTCTTCATGCACAGCACACAGTTGACAATCCCCAGGGAACAGCAGAACCTACAGGGAAACTACATTTCCCATGAATTCACTTCCTCGGTGTGGTGTAGAATAATTCATCTTCCCTCTGGACTGCACCTTATTACATCCCAAACTCTGTTTAGCAGGGAGAGAGAGCGGTGGGCAGACTTTAGATGATGTCGGCTCGCTCAGGAGACAGATGGCTTCCAGACTCTGCCAATGATCAGGCCTGCATTTTGCACAGGAAGTCTTACCAGATGTAGTAAATAAGTTATTGTCCACAACGTGTATGATGGCTGTGATGGGCCTGGTCTATCACCTAGAGATTGCTTTGCCATACCCAGGGAAAGAAGTATGTTATTGTAATGGCACATAGTTGAGCTGTCAATGAGAAAAAAGGTGAACTAAGCCTTTAACAATTAATCACAGGGCAGTACGTTACCTTTCCTCACTGTCTTTATGGATCCGTGTAAGAAAACGGGTGTTTGAATTATGACTGATTGGCCAAATCACCTGCTGGCTTAAAATATTTCTTACAGAATCCAGCTATCAGGTCACAGCCATTCCTAGCTGCCATTCCTCCTGTTGCACTGTTTAAAATAAACTGCATACTTTTATTTTTTTTCCCCTGGTGCTGGAAAATCTTGTTTGCTAAATGTTTGTTTGTTTTTTCTTTTTTTTCTTTTTTTTCTTTTTTTAGGAGAAGAACTTACATTTAACTATAATTTGGATTGTCTTGGAAATGAGAAAACCGTGTGCAGGTGTGGAGCTCCTAACTGTAGTGGATTCCTTGGGGACAGACCAAAGGTTCGTTTTACAGCTTTTGTTGTGTGTAAATGCAGAGGGCTTAGAAATAAAGCAGCTACTTATTTCAGGTGGCTTGTAACATGTTTTCTGCATCGCTTCCCTCACTGTCCTCTGAGAATAAGTGACCGCAAACGGTAACAAATACTGTATGTACATCTGTGCACATGTACTTGACAGGAGGTCAGTACAGATGGGTTTTCCTCCACAGAAAGGGTAATGACTTGCCTAACTCAATGTAATTTAGGTATAATTGGTATAAATGCTGAGGTTCTTGTGCACAAAGTCCCCCTCCATTTCAGATGTAAACTAAGTATTTCCTTAAAGAACAACTCCAGGAAAACATATTAACCCTTGCAATGTTGCTACCCCTGCACGGCAAGGGGTAAGGGCTGCTTTTTGTCTAGGCACTGGAAAAAAAAATTATACTAGCCAGACCATCCGAGCTGGCTTCCTGCTTCTATGATCACTAAAGTGTGGCTCCTCCTCTGCTGCGCAGATGGACTGCTTTTCAGCGTGGCACGGCTGTACGCCGCGTGTAGAGCGCCCGCACGGCTGTACGCCGCGTATTCTTTGTTTCACTTTATCGTTTTATAACTGTGTTATTGTAGAATTCCTCTGGATCTGCTCATGAAGAAAAGTCCAAAAAACCCAAGAAGAAAGCAAAACGACGCCGAACAAAAGGCGATGGCAAAAAGGAGTCGGAGGATTACTGCTTTCGCTGCAATGATGGCGGAGAGCTTATTTTGTGTGACAGAAAGCTCTGTACAAAAACCTACCACCTTGATTGTCTTGATCTTGACAAAAGGCCTTTCGGTGAGTTCTTGTTTATAAATGTTCTTCCCCAGCCCATAGGTGTATCTCCTTGCTCTAGGATAATCCGATCCTATTTACTTCAGATTGAATCGGCTTGCATACTCCATTCTCTTTACATTTTACATTGTTGTTGTACATTTTAATAAACCACCCTACTTCTCAGTATACATGCTGCTGTACGCTATACTGTCTGTATTGTCCCATCTCTGACTTGCGAAACACGAAGTTTCTTTCATTACCTCCATTCTGACTTTGTTGAAAGGATAATGCTGCTCCTGGTATATCACACACCCCTTTCTTATCCCTGCATATGCAGCCTCGTGTATTATCTACATCCCATGTGGTAAACATTCTAGTGCCAGGCCTGCTCTGCCTGCACATTAAAGTCTTATAGGCTTGAATAGAATGAACCTGTACTGTAGAAACCTCACAAGCTTTTATACTTGTCCAGCCTGGCTCCTCACTTGTCTAGGCAATGGTGTCAATTTGCATCAGGACATCATGTCACAACCCGCCCCACCTCCCAACATGGCGAAAATCTGGCCTGGTTATTGATCTGAGTGCTGTCTCATAGGGGAGATTATGTGCTGCCTCATATCCAGAATCATTAGCACGGTCTCCAGCAGTTGGGGGTCCCAACGAGGCAGCATAGCTGGTTTAAATACACATGCTTGGAGGGGAGTACTTCTAAGTGACAGTATCTATTTAATTTGACTTTACGACCATAACTTAATTCTGATTAAAAGCTTATGGTGCTCTCCTTACTGCCGCCTATCATTCCACTTTGCCCAACTCTGTTTAGCAATTTTGTATTACAAAAAAATGATGTGTTGTACATTTTCTATCATAGGGAAGTGGGAGTGTCCGTGGCATCACTGTGACGTCTGTGGAAAGGCTTCTGTCACCTTCTGCTGCCTGTGCCCAAATTCGTTTTGCAAAAGCCACCATGATGACAAACAATTCAGGCGGACAGCGGGCGGCAAGCTGTGCTGCCTGGAGCATGACCAGCAGGAGTTCAATGAAGTTCAAGCTGCTGAAAGCAAAGCTAAAGAGCACTCAAAAGTCACGCAGAAGAAAAGCCAGAAGACTAGATAAAACTGAAAGGACTGCAACACTATTGTAAATATATATACCTATTTGTGAATAAGTTGAATGATGGCCTTTTTTCATTCAATGCTGTACAGCTAGCTCACCTCCTTCTGATTCAGGACTCAAATGTACCCACTGAGCCAACCTCTGCAGCCGAGGCTGCGTCTGCACTGAATGCCTAGCTGCATTTACTGCAGCTTGTTACCTGTCAGGACAAATCCACCGTACACAGCATTACCGCTATATCCTCATTAGTGGCTTAATAATGGAGAGGCTCTTGTATTGGTCTAAGACTGGAGCTGCTTGAAGTACTCCTATTGAGCAGGTATTGAAGAGAACTTGTCACCCATGTACAGTGGAGGCAGTTATATAGTAAACCAAGTCTACTTTCAACATTTGTTATTGGTAGCGATGCACCGATACCGTTTTTTTGGTATTGATTATGAATACCACTATTTTCGGTAAGCACCGATACCGAAATTCCAATTCAGTTGATTTAGCCAGGAAGCCGCTCGACTTCCTGATTTATCAGGGGCGAGGAAGTATGGAGCCAGCTTTCTGGCCAATCGGGAAGCGAGTCATTGCACATCGCCTGACGAGGAAGCGTCGAGCTGACTTTCTGGCCAATCAGCGGGGCAGTTAATGACTCGCCTCCTGGCTTTCTGATTTTCTGGGAAGATGGCTCCATGCTCCCTCGCCACCAGGTGACGAAGCGTGGAGCCGTCTTTCTGGCCAATAAATGACTCCTGATTTAGCTGGGAAGCCAGCTCCATGCTCCCTGGTGACGAGGGAGTAAGGAAGCAGCTTCCTGATACCGGAAGTTCCATAATGGGATACTTATCAGGATAAGTATCGGGTGCATTTGGATGAATACCAGTGCCAGTATCCGTATCGGTGCATCCCTAGGTATTAGGCATAGTAGAGACAATGTGAAACTGATATTTTATGTCCCAGTAAATGAAGGTGGAATAACATAGACACTGGCACTCCAAATGATGAATCAATAGCGTCTGTTTATTGACGCATGAAACAGCACGAGGCATCAAAAGCAACGTTTCGGGGTCTCACAGGATCCCCCTTCATCAGGCAAAATAAGATGAAGGGGACCCTGTGAGACCCCGAAACGTTGCTTTCGATGCATCGTGCTATGTTTCATGCATGTTTCATGCGTCAATAAACAGACACTTGATTCATCATTTGGAGTGCTGGTGTCTATGTTGTTCTGTGATTATAGACGGTTGCCATCCGTCGACTGCCGTAGCACCCAGCTTTTACACTTTGGAACAGCGGCTTGGAGTACGATGGGTTCATGGACAGTAAATGAAGGTGGATGCCCATTGCAGCATCTGTTGCTTTCCAGGGCAATGTCCTAATGTTAGAGAGAATATTCCTCTGCAAAAATATCACTCTTTTGGGCTTGAGCCTGATGCAGCAAATTTCAGCAGGTTTTTGTGAAGGGGGGGATAGGCTTTGTCCTTTAAAGTAAGTCCCACTGCACAGAATGGCTGCCCGCTGTAGCTTGTGCATGGTAATGTTGGTACTAAGCAGTAAATTGGCCGGCTGTGTATTTTTAAATGTCGCTCAACTGCACAACATAGCTGTAAACTCTGCAGTTTCTTTTTCCAGAGTTCTCTAGTTACCAGTAAACTTTTAGTCAAAGCAAAATGGTTGCCCCCACTGTTTCTGGATGGCAGATGCTCCTATTAAATGTTTTAGTTTTTTTCATTACAAGACACTATTCAGCTCCATCTTTGCAATACCTGTATATTTTAGTGTATTTTTATAGTCCAGACAAGAATTTGTATAATCCTTTTAACAGAATATAGGTACATTTAACACAATATTATTTTCATAGTTTTTTTTGTTTTTAATCTGAGGCTTTTGCTGCAAATGTCAGTAGTGCTGCAAGCACCGCGTTCACACAGCCAAACGACCTGTTCTATAAACAGCGTTGAACATGTGGCTACGTTTATTTTTTTTTAAAACACCGTGAAATATTTTATATATGACTGTTAACTGTGGGAACAACTATTTTTTGTTCTGTGATTGTTTTACAGATGTACAGTTGCTACCTCACCTGGGTAATATTGTGGTTCCCAACCTGAACATTTTATTGTGATTTTTATTTTATTATTATTTTGGTTTTTTGAAAGGGTAACTCCACTAAGTGGGGTGGGTGTTTAAGCAATTCTCTGTGCCTGGGTTCCACTTTCTACCTTTTTAATACAGAAGATTACTCAAAAAGGATTTCAAATTTTGTATAGATTTCAGTAGGCTGGCTAGTCTTTCAGATCTTAATAGTGCAGAAAGTTCTGTGCCCGGGTACCCAGCTCTACCCACCTGCCATGACCACTCCGAGCACTATGTTCTCCCATCTACGGAAGTCATCATGGAGAAAGGGGCATCTTGGCTTTCTAATGTTCCTCTTTGGGAATTGTTAGGTAAATGGAGGATGTTAGAAGCAAAGTTGGGGAGTCAAGCCAAACACAGGCATCTGGAGTTACCAAAGTGGCTTAGTCTGAAAAATATTTGGCCTTTCAGGGACAAGCACATAGTGCAGAAGACAATATAGGTGGTAGTACCCCATTCATGCACCAAGGCTGCCTTCAATGCTGGCCATTTAATACCAACTTGAACCTCTGCTGGCTACAGTAGTTTGGGCAGCCCAGAGATGCTGATCACTGGCATAGAAAACGTAAAATGAGCTTGACCGTTAACTAGCCTGTATGTGGAAAACTGAAGTCTTGTCAAAGGAAAAGAAGAAAACCTAAACATTAGCGATCCTAGCCTGTGTGCTTTTTCTTCTGATTCGTCTTTCTTCGTTAGTTATACTCTTGGATGTCTAGAGGAATTCTCAAGCTCTCCGGCACAAGTGAGCCAGCAAGTCCCCAGGGTGCCCAGTGATAGGAGCGTTTATTTTATACACTTTATGCCGCTCCATTGATTCCATTCTGCGGAGTTCTCATTTAAGATACAGGTAGTATCAGTCTTTGCCAATGGCTTCTTCATCTCAGAGTTCAGATGACTGTGGTGTCATGGAGATGTGGTTCTTGTAGAGGCCATGTCACATATATATTTAGTAGACCTAGCGAGGGAGAGCAGTGTCAATGAGAACATAACGTGCCATGTTTTATAAACTTCACTTTTTTAAAATACAGCCATTTAAAACCTTTAAGGTTTTTCAAGGGTGACTCCAGTAACTTTTTTTTTTTCTACCCAAACCTCCGATGTGGTAAACCCAGAGGATGCTCAGGGTCATCCGTTTGTGATCTAGCTGCTGCTTCTCTATTGGAGTGCTGAGCGAAGGATTTTTGGAGCCCTAGACTTCCTAAAGTTAACTGAACGCCTTAAAGGAAACCTGTGCTTAGAAAAATATGGAGTTGACGTTTTTATAAAGAGGTTTAGCTGTGGCAACCTGTTGGTTCAGGTTATTTCAGAAATGACTGAAGCTACAGAAGAAAGAGTCCCGGACATCTAGCATTTGTAGAAGGTCCGCAGTGGCAAGTTCCGCATATCTTTCTTCATTTCACTCCCATGCTGCTCCATTCAACTGCTGGAAGAAAAAGGAAAGCCTTGTGTAAGCTACAAGATACTGGATTTGTAGTTAGCACAGGACTCCTTGTGTGACAGTGATGATTGGTCCAATGCTGTGACATGCTACTCCATACCCAGAAGTAGCTGTATTTTCCTGTCTGCTCCTATTAAACTACGTGTCAGGAGAGTGAAGAAAATTATAGACCAAGGGAGAGGCGCAGGTTTGCTTTGCCTTTAATGTACCAGGCACAGGTTTGCTTTAAGTACACATGGGCATTGTCTAACCTTAGTAAATGACTTAAGAACATGCTTTTTTTAGACCGATTAAATTGGCTTCTCTGATGCTCCACCCAGTAGTTGCCAATAATTTGCTAAATGAGTGCTGAAGCCTGCCAGTGCTTTTTAAAGCTACAGCCAGCATTCCTGTGAAGGACTGATCTGGCGTTTCCAGACGGGAACTGAAGGGTGCTTAGGCTTGAAAGAAAACGGCTAAAGCTTTGTAAATGCCTAACACATATGTCCATCAGACTAACACTGGCAAGCGAAGATTAAAAATAATTTTAAGATTTTTCCATTGGCCAGCCAGGAGGAGACATTAAATATCTTCTAACCACCAGTCTCGGGCATATGACATAGTTTATAGGAATCCAGGAGTTAAAGGGGGCTTTCTTAAAGCAGACAAAATACAAAGAGGAGAATATATTAAATCTGGAGCAGTTTCCCATGGCAACCAATCAGCTTCTCTCTTCAGTTTGTATAGTTAAGGTTAAGATTTGAAAATGAAACAAAAAAGATTGGTTGCTATTCACAGCAGCTTCAGATTTTGTTTTTGATAAATTCCCCTCAAATAATTTTGTGATTTGTGGAGAATGAGGGCAAGCTTTGTGCAAAAGTATATGCCTCCAAAGCACAGATTTGAGCAATACAAAATATTTTTTTTATTGTGCCATTGGCTTTACCAGGAAATCAGCCGCCCAACAGTGTGCAAAACCAGGAGGAGGCAACCAGAGCATGGCCCAGGAAAAAAGATTTGCGCTCCAATGGCAGGGATACCTTTACCAAAGGTTGCCTACATTGTCTTCTGCCCGCAAACCGTTTTGTGTAATGGTCCGTTGAAGTGACTTGATTATACGTTTGTCATTGTAGTTTGTCCCCCATCATATTGTGATTATCTTCCTGTTCAGCGTTCTAATGTTTTCATTGCAGTCCAGATATATTTTGCCTAATTTTTAAAATCTTTTGTAAAGGAAACAAAGTGTAGTTTTGTACCATAGAGACTGATTGCTGAAGAATAATTCTTGCATACAGTATGCATCATATCTCTGAAAGGTCTTCACATTATCTCAACATTTGTTTTCCATACTGAAGTTCTGGCCTGGGCTCCCAGAATCCTTGTTTTGTTCTTCTTTTTTTTTTTTTGGTAAGTTAAAAAATTTTCTCCTGAAGAGGTTCTACAATGAACAATATTAAAGACGCACTTTATTATTTTCTAATGCTGTTTTAATTTTATCATTACTCCAACTTGAACATCATTCAAAAAAAATTTGCTATTGTTTTCACACCAGAATAGAATGTGTTTTTTGGTTACTTAACTGTTGTCTGTGTGTATTTTGTTTTTCCCTCAACTTTGAAAGAAAACAATGTGCATGTAGTACAAATGTGGTGCGGTTACTGAAAAATGTATCTGATCTGATTACACTTGCTTGATGTGCAATATTGTTAGTATTGCACCTTACCGATTTTTTGTTGGTGCTTCTTCTAGTGTTTTAGTGTGATCAATACGTCAAATTACTATGCA